TTTTTTTCCGTGTTCAACTGGATGTTTAGTTTAAGTTTCAATTATTTTGAATCTTTTTTAAATTTGGATTAATTAGAATTTTTTCATCAATGAGTGCGAAGTTATTATAATTATATTAGTTCGAAATTTGGGTAAAAATTGAGTCTTTGATAAATTAAAATTTAAACAAATCAAAATTTTCGTGGTAAATTGAAATTCGGATAATTTGAAACATATAAATCTAAAGTTCAATTTGCTCCATCACGTCAGGATTCTTTTCTAACCTCAAAAAACATATATCTATAATCACATAAGTAACTCATCAAAATTTTTGTGTCGTCATTGGTTATAGGGGTTTTTGGGGTCGCTGATCACGAATTCGATGTCAAATTTTCAAAATTCAAAATGGCGAATGCAATATGGAGGACAATTTTTTAAAAAAAATTTTGCATCCGCCATTTTGAATTTTGAAAATCGGACATCGAATTCGTTATCAGCGACCCCAAAAACTGAGTTCAGATTCTTAATCAGCAAAATATATTTTTTTTAATTCGTCGTCAATGATAGATAAAGAAATTTTTAGTTTATTTACTTTTTTTTAGCGATAATTTAATAATAATAATAATAATAAAATTATTATATAACCTATATATATATATATATATATATATATCGAAAGTATAATAAATAATAATAAAATAATGTTTGCCATTGGATATTTTGAATTCAGTGTTTGTTAGAAGACAGAGCAAGTTTTCTGGAACGTGATACGACGTTATCGATCACGCATTATAAGGAAGCCGTACTAATAAGTGCATCCTTAAATGAAAACGACATGACACTCGGTTCAAGTACCACAATAGCTTATTTTTTTCACAATTTTTTTTTTTTATATTTTTATATAATTATGAGTAATTTTTTAAGTTGAATTCAACACATATTGAGGAATGAACAGAAAAATCTGGAAAAAAAAATTTTTAGGTTATGTTACTGACTTTTGGAGTAAAATTACACAAAAATCATCAGTTCTAAATATAAAACAGCTGATGTTTAAGTCTTCATTAGATCCAAAAATATTTTATAAAAACTGATTTTAATTTTATATAATTAAAAATGAACATTTAATCAAGGTAAAACTATCACTAAACATAACCTAAAAATTTTTACAGCTAAGTCCCTTTCATCGTGGAGTGTCATATATATATATACTCAATTTCAGTATGCGTTTCCTCATTGTTAGATTATTATTATTATTACAATCTCTATAAATGGGAAAAATGACTACCGTCAACTGGGGCTATTCTGATCAGGGGCTATTATGCTACAATCTAGTTTTTATTTTGTAAAATATTAATTTCGAAATTTTAAAACTTTGACACAGCTGTAATTTTAGTGTGACAATTTGGTTGTATTCTGGTATACAATCGGTACAACATTCAAAATAATTATTATACGAAAATTAATTTTCTAATCAGTAAAAAAAAAAACTCCTGGTGCTTCATATTTTATTATACACAAATAACGTATATATTTTTGTATCAGAAAATTGAAAATAAGTCAATTATAATTTTACAAATTGTACAACATAACCTCAAAAAGTAAATAATTTTAAATAATTTACAAATTAATTTAAAAACTGTTCGATTTAAAATATCTTATAAAACAATAATGGACATTATTAAATTATTTAATTAGCCTAAAATTTGTTTAAATTATCATTCCTAACCTGAAAAAAAGCAGTAATTATAATAAAATTCTTCTAATAATAATTTTTCATCAACTTTTTAAAAATTATTCACAGAATATGTAATAAAGTTTCGATATAGTTTAATAGGAAGAAAAAAAATTGTTTCTTTATTTTATGAACATTTTTCTACAAAGATTAAAATTTTTGTTAAGAACAAAAAAATTTTTGTACCATATAATATAGCCCCGGTTGACGGTATACTTTGTATATACAAATTTTTAACAATTAAAATCAAAACGAAAAAAATTTTTATACTTTTTTTTTAAAAAAAAAAAGAAAATAATTTTTTTTTTTTGGTTTTAGATTATTTTACGTGATTCTTGGTTATAACACGTTATATATCGGAAATAAAAAACGATGTTAGCAAGTGTAGATGCACGTGACAACCCAATGTAAAGCGTGTTCACGTGATTCTAGTGTGTCTGTTCCTACATTGATTTGTTAGTATAATCGTGAAAATCTGCATGTTAAGGGACGAAAGTCCAAAGTTCGAAAATAGCTTTATCGTATATCCGAGGAAGCAAAGGTTTCAGAAACAGTTTCGTGTTTGATTTCCAATGTGTTTTATATATACATATAAATTCAAATCGCAACAAATTTTTTTTGCTAATTCACAGAAATTGTTTCTCTTATAACAGGAAAATTATAATGCACATATTATATAGTTGTACAAGCAAAAAAATTGTATTCAAATTCAAAGTTCTGGAAAAATATCCGTTAAATTATTTTATCCATTGATAATAATTTTATATATTAATTATAATCGTTAAAAAATTTATTTTATCGACAACAATATTTTTTCAAGGGAAATTACAATTTTGTGTGTATGATTTAATTAATTTGCAGAAAATTATTAAAAAAATTTTATAATTATCAGAATTTTATAAAGTGAATTTTAAAATTTAACAGAATATTTTGTGACATGACATTTTTAACGTTAAAATTTTAGGAAAATTAAGTTCTTTTTTTTTTAATTTACTTTTAGTGACAAATATTTATTAATTTTAATTTTGCGTAAAATTTGAATTTGAATCGATTTCGCGCCTTTTTGCGCTAGTCGATCACGATAGGTGGCGCGCATGTTATGGCGCACTCACACCTTTTTTGGCTGCCTGCCTGCCTGCAGGTTACCATGGCAACCCACGAGTGTGAGTGAGACAGAAAATTTGAATATTCAAATTTTTAAATTTTCTGTCGCACTCACTCTCATGCGTTGCCATGGTAACCTGCAGGCAGCCAAAAAGGTGTGAGAGCGCCTTTACAGGTTAGATTATAGAGCATTTTTCCGGCTGGATTTTTGATTGGTTGATTTTAAAAATCGCGCCAAAATCGATTGTTTGTTTTTACATTTGCAATTTCGGACAAATGAAAATTCCATCAATTTAGAAATTCTGTTAAATGATTTTGTCGGTTAAGTAAAAAATTCTGTAATATGAAAAATCGGTTATATGTTATTATTATATTAAATGAAAATTCGAGCAAATAAAAATTCGAATAAATAAAAATTATGTGAAGTGAATTTTCGGTTATACAAAAATTCTCTAATACAGAAAATCGTTTTAATGAAAATTCTGTAAAATACTAAGTTCGAACAAATATAAAATTCGGCTCAAAAATAATTATGACAAATGAAATTTTTATAAAATGAAAATTCTATAACTAATAATTTTTAGAACATAATCATGCATCCCTGTTGATGTAATTTTAAAATTAATTTTTTTTATGATAAAACCGATTATTACTGAATTATAATTATTTCTTTAAAATTGTATATACATATACCGAAAGTATATATAATCTGTATTCTTCGAATGAAGAGAATTTGAAAATGAATGCGTATATTGTATACATATATATAGGGGTGGTTTGTCATATAGCAATGGCAGTAAAGGGCGAGCTTTTGCGCGTTAGGGATAGAATATTAAGCTCCACAGCTTTTGTAATGAAGTTATGTCAATAATTGAGGTGTAATAACTTCGGTGTACCAGGGTTTCAAGAGCAAGGGCTGTCACGCTCAATTATCGCCGATGTTTCCATTTAGTTGTTATATATATATATATATATATAACTTTTATATCCCTGCACTCAATTATTTACCAATCAGTAAAATTTCAAAAATGCATATTAATGCCCAAAAAATTAATTTTTATTTAACAATAATTTCATTCCATAAATTTTTCCGAATTTTTAAATATGTGTTTGAATTATTTTTTTTTTGACAGAATTTCCAATCGATTTTTTTATATCTAAATCCACTTTAAAGAATTTTGTATTTGTTAAATTTTTTAAAAATTTGAGTAAAGAAAGAAAATAGAAATTGTATTTTAAAAAAATATCCCTATTAGTGAATCGCTTATTTCGAGGATTGAATTCAGAAGAAAGAGAGAGAGAGAGAGAGGGGGGGGGTGAAACTAAGTAGTTTGTTAGAATATCGTATTACATTTCAAAAGAGAAGCGCAAAGTTATTCGATTGCCTTCGTAGAAAGAATATACTTATATATATATATAAGCATAAAGTTTGTGTTGGTGATGAGAGCGAAAATGTTGTCTGCAAAGTGAGAGGCAGAGGGATATGGTGAAAATGGGAGGGATGAGAGAGAGAGAAGGAAGGGGAGATTCGCGATTGAACGTGCGGGAGCCACCGTTCGATTCGCTATTAGAGGGTAATAGGTATTATCGATTTTGGAACCAAGCGAGAGGTTATCTCGGTTCAAATCATGACAAATATAGTTTTCTACCCAGCTTCTACGAAAGCTGCGCGCCATTATTATTATATATATATATGTTATCCCTCAAAAAAACATTTTTCAAATTACAAAAATAATCCAAAAATAATTTCCCGATTAAAACAATTATTTATTTCTCAACACTATTTATAATTGCCTTCTATTCCAGTCAAAATAGATATTGAGTAATCGACTCCAGCAACGGTTGCCAGGGTCTTGTTATATTCTTAGAAACTTGCAACATTGTTTATGTTTCGAATATCTCAAATGTTAAATTGGAATCTAAAATTAATGCCGAAATAATTGGATAAAGATAATTAATAAAATAGTACGATATTAATTATATATATATATATATATATATATATAAAAAAATGACTAATGATTGGATGACTATTAATTTAGGGAGGGAAACTAAGAGAGAGGGGAGACGAATTTCCCTCTAGTTTTGATCCAATAATAAAAAAATAATTTCCTTAAATTAAAGAGACGAAAGAACGGAAGGAGAAAATAACAAGAATTCACATATTTTTTATTTTTTGTTTCAGCAGCAAAAATTCTTAAAGAGGACGACAGAAGATTTGGAGCCATCGGGGGGTGGTGGTGGCGATGGAACATTTGGTGAGCCACCAGTTAAATTGCAATGTACACAGGGACAGCATCAACATCAGCAGGCACCAGGTGGTGGTTCACATTTGGGTCATGGTCCACATTTAACTGGAAATGGTACCAATCCCACGGGGCAACAACAAGCCAGCAGTGGTGGTGGTGGTGGAGGAGGTGGAAATGGAGGTACAGCCGGTAATGAGGGTCTTACGAAATTTTCAGTGGAAATTGTCCAACAATTGGAATTCACCACATCGGCTGCTAATTCACAGGCACAACAAATTTCAACAAACGTAACGGTTAAAGCATTAACAAATGCCTCAGTGAAAAGTGATTTAGTGAATTCATCATCATCACCAAAACCCGGTCCCGATTCTCAATCGACAAATGCACCAAGGCCACAAAATCCATCTGGTGGAGGTGGAGGTGCTGGCAGTATTGGTTGCGTTGATATTGGTAATTTAGTTGAATGTAAACAAGAACCGGACAATGAATTTGTTGATCTTGAACAATGTGCCGCTGCATTAGAAAAAGATGCCGCTGCAAATGGCGCTGGTTTTCCTGGTTTTTCTGATTTTATTGGCGATGATACTGGTGATGAAATAATTACCTCCGATGCATTTAAAGATCTTATTTCTGAAATATCCGATTTTCATCCTGAATTCATGAAGGACTTTGATTTTGAGGACAAGAGTGTTGATGCACTTGCAAATAGTGCAATTAACGATGTACCAAATAATGGACAAATAAAAATTGAAGACGATAAAGATTCAATTCATCATCATCCAAGTAATGGTAATGCAAATAATGTTGTATCAAATTCTAGTCCTGGAAATCTTGGCTCATCGCAATATTCACCGGCAAGACTTCCATATTCAGGTTTATCAGAAATGAGTCCAGCGGCTCAAACACTTAAACAAATGGCTGAACAACATCAACATAAAAGTCAACAAATGGGACTCGGTGGTTTTAATCCAAATTCAACGGCATCAAGAGGACCAACATCAAGATCGCCATACGCTGAATTCACACAATTTGGTGGTCCCACTGATTATCTTGGTAGTCCAAGCAACAATGTCACACAGTCTTCACAAAATCAAAATACACCAAACAGTGGGAATTATCATAAAAATAATGGTAATCAAGGATTTCAAAATCAGCAGACAAATGATATATTTGCTCAACAACAATTTGCAAGTTTAGCTGATATGAAAAGGCCACAGCCAGGTGGTGGTAAACCAAATATGCTTGCACCAACCGGTGGTTATAAGCAACAGTATTCGCCTTATGGAAGTCCTGGTTCAATGCCAAATCATGGAAGTCCTGGTTATCCTCTACCACCAAGAGGGACACCAGGTGCTGGTCCCAATCAACCTGGTTCACAAGGACCATTCACTAGTTCCACACCACCTAGACCACCTTCCGGTTCGGGGACTTCCACATTGCAAATCAATCAAGCGCAACAATTGCACATCACAAATCCTGGTCATCAAATTCAGGTGAGTTATTTTTTACATTTTTCAAAAAATAAATGCTGCCGCTAATTTTGAATTGATTTTCAAGGGGGGTTGAATAAATTTGGAATTTTAAATATATGAAAAATGTTTGTAAGGGATGGGTGATATCTGTTGCGTCGCGACAATGCGTCTATTTTTGTCAACGGCGACGACGATCGAGCGGACAGTGTCGATGTCGGTTTGGGGGAAGGAGGGGAGACTGAGTGACGACGACGACGCCGACGATGACGACAACGATAGAGAGAAGAGCAAGTTTGTTATAGAAGAGAAAGAGCGTCACGGGAAAGAGAGAGCCGTGAAACGCAACAAGTAGTTTAACCCTCTTTCTCTTCACCCTTCTCCTCCATGCGATGGATTCTCCCTCTCACTCTTATTTTATATATATATATATATATATATATATATATTGTAAATTCTCATCCCCTTTTTGGTCATGCCTCATCCCTTGTTTCTTTCCCTTTCCTTCCCTTATACCACGTTACACCACCCGCGTCGTTCCTCCTCGCGCCAGTGGGACTTCTTTCCCGACGCGCACACCCGGCGACGCCACTGTCTGCCCAACATAAGTGTGGTTGCTCCTCGCGTCAATACGCTTTGCAATAGGCGCCGCAATGCTCTCCGCGCATATAGCCACTTTCAGTGAGACTAATTTTACAATTCTACATGGAGATAAAAAAAAAAAAATTTAACTAAAATAATATTGACGCAACTCTTGACAATATTTTTTTTTTGTTTACTTTTTGCAATTGGTTTGGAAAAAATAATTATATATACACTCTAGTTTTTGTAGATAAAAATATAAATTTTAAAATAGGAAAAATTCACAATAGAATGCGTGGGAAATATTATCTAATAGTGTTTTTTTTTTTTTGAAAATTTGAATTTTTCTTGGGAAATTGTTTAATTTTTTTTAACAAAGAACTTAGTTTTTAGAATTAGACAAAATGATGAAGAATTTTTGAAAATTATTTATCTGTTTTGAATGTTCCACGTACAAAAGTCTTAATCCTAGACAGCACACAACATAGCTGGCTCATACGTAGAAATAAAATCTGGGGTAGAAAACCACCTCAAAAATGTTTTGTTACTAGAATGTTCATATTTAATGCAAAATAACTTTATTATGAATAATTTTATTCCCTTTATTTACTAGGCAGAAGATAGCGTTTTTTGTTTTTTGATATGATTAAAAATATGGCCAAAAAAATTACAAAAAACCAAAATAAAAAAAATCTAGAAAAAATGCCATGGTTTAAATTTTTCCTGGGATACTTTTCTACCCCAGATTTGCTTTCTAGAGTTAATGACTATAAAATAAAATTTTTTTTAGTCAAATTTTGACACATTTAAGTTAGGGGTTAAGTATCTGATGCTAGTTTTTACAAAATTCAAAATGGCGAATCCAAAATGTTGGGCAAAAATTCAAAAATCGATTGAATTTAGTTGAAACTTGTTAATGGAGGTTTTCGTAATCGCTGATTACAAATCCGATGTTAGATTTTCCATATTCAAAATGGCCAATCCAAAATGGCGTCGATTTTTAAAAAAATCATTTTAAATACTTTGAATTTTGTTACTATGGAAGTTTTCAAGATCGCTGATTACTGTTAATTTTGCAAAATTCAAAATGGCGTATACAATATGGCGATGATTACAAATCGGACGTTATTTTTGCAAAATTTAAAATGGCGGATCTATTATGGCGGTCAAAAAATTTTTTTTAAATCTATTGAATTTGGTTGAAACTTGTTACTTTGGACATATTTGTGATCGCTGATTACGAATCAGAGGTCAATTTTCCAAAATTCAAAATGGCGGATCCAAATGGTGGCAATGTTTTAAAAAATCGTTTTAAATACTTTGAATCTCGTTACTAGGGGAGTTTACGAGGTCGCTTATTACGAATATGATGTTAATTTCGCAAAATTCAAAATGGCGTATTCAATATGGCGGTAAAAAAAATTTTGAAAATCAGTTGAATTTAATTGACACTTGTTACTTTGGGCATTTTTGTGGTCGTTAATTACGAATCAGAAGTCAGTTTTCCAAATTCAAAATGGCCAATCCAAAATGGCGGCGATTTTTAAAAAATCATTTTAAATACTTTGAATCATGTTACTATGGAAGTTTTCAAGATCGCTGATTACTGTTAATTTTGCAAAATTCAAAATGGCGTATACAATATGTCGATGATTACAAATCGGACGATATTTTTGCAAAATTTAAAATGGCGGATCTAATATGGCGGTCAAAAAAATTTTAAATCTATTAAATTTGGTCGAAACTTGTTACTTTGGGGATTTTTGTGATCGCTGATTACGAATCAGAGGTCAATTTTCCAAAATTCAAAATGGCGGATCCAAATGGTGGCAATTTTTTAAAAAATCGTTTTAAATACTTTGAATCTTGTTACTAGGGGAGTTTTGGAGGTCGCTTATTACGAATTGGATGTTAATTTTGCAAAATTCAAAATGGCGTATTCAATATGGCGGTAAAAAAAATTTCTGAAAATCAGTTGAATTTAATTGACACTTGTTACTTTAGGCATTTTTGTGGTCGTTAATTACGAATCAGAAGTTAGTTTTTCCAAAATTCAAAATGGCGGATCCAATATGTCGGTCACTTTTTTAAAAATCGTTTGAAATCCTTCGAATTTTGTTAATGTGGGGGTTTTCGGTTGCGCTTTGAAACTTATTAGTTGCAAGTTTTTCGTGTCGCTGATTAACAAATTGGAGGATGAATCCCATCTCAGTTTTGCAAATTTCAAAATGGCGGATCCAAAATGGCGTCGATTTTTTAGAATCATTTAAAATACTTCGAATCTTGTTACTCGCGGGGGTTTTTGGGGTCGCTGATTACAAATCTGAACTTCGTTTTTAAAAATTCAAATGGTGCACCCTTTTTTTAAATTTTTTATCTAATTCACTCTAAATTCGTTATTTAAATATTTTCAGAGTCACTGAGTAAAAAATTTTAATGATAACTGTATAATATTTTATTTTGAAAACGATTGAATTTTATTTTTTAGCATTTGGTTTATATATAATTTAGAATTAAATAGTCGATATGACAGAATATAAATTATTTTTTTTTTTTGCTGATTTAAATTTTAGTGAGTACCCATATATACATATATATACAGGAAATAATGAAGACCAGATTTAAGTTTATTTAGCGATACACTATTCGTGGTTTTTATTTGTTTCGTCTTTAGTTGCGATATGTATAGTATACTTGTAAATTTAGGCCATCAAGGCTGGCGCGGAAATGGTAATCTTAACAGTTTATCGAACAGGAAGTCACCAGTGGAAACAAGAAGGTGACGTGACTGTGTGTATATGTGTATATATGTATATTTCGAAGGTGAGACGATACGAAAATAGTCTTATTGCTCGTTAAAAAAAAAAAAAGTAGGCCCACCTTTTATTGTCTTTTGTCGATGCAAATTTTCAACAACGACAGAGAAAGAAAGAAAGAAAACTTTCTCTTCTATTCGCAATGTTCGTAATTTCCTATACAAGGCCAAATGACGCTTCTTCTTCTGTATATATATATATATATGAACAAAAACATTTTTACAATATAAATGTATATCGAATAAATATTTTCAATGACGTTAAGAATCCGAGAAAGTTGGGGTGACGAATTTCATTTTACGTTCCTAAATTTAAATTTGCAATTAATTTTCATTCTGATAAAATTTTCATTGAAGTAAATTTTTTTTTTTTAAAAAAAAACTAAAAATAAAATTCTTTTCTTTTATTTTTAATCATTACGTTTATGTATCAATATTAATTAATTTAATTAATTATAAAAACTAATTATAATATATTTTTATTTATATGTTTATTACGATTAATAATTATTATATAATAATAGTAGTAATAGAAGGAGTGTACAGGTGCGATTACCGATCGATGTCGGTATAGTAGATTTCTACTACATCTACAGTTGATAATATAGGAATCTACTTTACCGACACTTATTCAGTAGGATTTGTGTCGAGTGCTCTACTTTATCTACGGTAGGTACAGCGGGAATCTACCATATCGGTCTGTAATTGAGCTTGTACCCATATCTTATATTGATACTAATAATAATATCACAGAAAATTATAAGGTAATAAAATAAGCTACAATGCTTATTATTTTAATCCAATTTCGCTTATTTTAATATTAAAATCGATTAAAATAAGCAAAAATGGATTAAAATAATAAGTGTTGCAGCTTATTTTAATACCTTTTAATTTTCTGTGATTATATTTATTATATTAATTTATTAATTATTTTAATTATATTAGTTATTTTAATTATATTAATTTATGAAGCACTTTGAAGTATATAAGGGGACCTAAAAAGCAAAAAAAAAAAAAAAAAATTATAGATTATGTTTTAAAATTTAGAAGCGAAAATATAGAAAGAAAATCAACTCTCAATACAAATTATTATTGATATATAAGTATTCATTAGATGCAAATTATTCAATAAAAGCTGCTTTTGTATTTACATAAGTTAAATGGAATTTTTAATCAAGGTAAAACTATTGTAAACACAACCTATAATTCGTTTGTTTCTTAGGGCCCTTTCTTAAAAGCGCGTCAAAATTATTAATTAATTAAATTAATTGTATTAATTATATTATTTATTTTAGTTATATTAATCATATTCCTATTTCTCAAATTTTAACATTTTTTTTTTTTTTTTAAATTCACCTTCGCAAAGAATCGAACCCGTGTTTTCTATTTGTATTTCGTCGAAAACTCCAACCACTAGACTAATAATAATGTACAATTTCTATTTCGGTGAATGTTTGTTTTATTTTTCATTATAGTATAATATGTACAAATTATTATAATTTATACAAATAAATAATAATTCAGCCGAGGTTTAAAAAAATCTATCACAATATTTTCTAAATTAAATTTTTTACTATTTTTTTTTAATTCCGATTGTAAATGTTTATATTAAATTTTGTTTTTGGGA